TCTTGACCTTCCACTTGGAATTCTCTCAGGTGTCTTACTGATAACGCCCAAAACTGAACTCGTGGTCTTAACTGTACACCTCCAGCTCCAGTATTCTCCTTCATGGTATTACTCTCCTCTCAGCCACTCAAACCGGAAACCCAGGAGCCATCCGTGACTCCTCCCATTCCTTTACTCCTTACATCAACATATCGATCATTAAGACTGACTCGTTTCAACCTCTAAAACATAATGTCCCTAATATCCATCTCTCTCTACCTCTGCTGCCACTGCCCTCATGCAGGCCACTGGTAACTCTCACTTGGGCCATAGCAGCATCCTTAAATGGCCTCCTGCTCTTAGTCCCACATTCAACAGATCTTTTTAGAATGACTCCTATGTGCCAGGCATCACTCTAGATGCTGGTGAAATAGTGAACAAGGCAGAATTCCTGCTCTCCTTCCATTTATGTCATCAAATGAATAAGTAGATAGTTTTAATAGTGGTAAGTTCTATGAAGAAAATAAATAGGTTAAAGTGATAAAGATTGCGGGGGCGGGGTGGCACTTAACATTAGAAAGAGTATAAAGGGAAAGCTGCTCTGAAGAAGTGACTTTTGATTTGATCGGGATAAAGAGAAGGAGCCAGTCTTTGTGACTTTTGAAAGATGAGCATCCCGGCAAGGAGAACATGTGCAAAGGCCCCACAGGAAACACCACATTGGAGCAGCAGAAGGCCAGCGTGACTGTGCAAAGTAAGTTGGGAGACTGGTAGGAGGTCGAGACTGGAGATTGAGCAGGCGGATTAGAGACCACAGTGAAAGTGGGACTCCAATGGAGGGTGCTAAGCAAGGGGGTAGAGAGCAGGGTAAAACTGATTTATCTTTTTCAAATATTTCTTTGGTATTCTTGGCTCCTCTCTAACTTTTTCTCCACAGTGATCTTTTCACATACAAAAACTGTCATTTCCTTGCTCAGATCTCTCCTCATTGCTCTTAGGAATACTGGACTTCTCTCAGTTCTCTAAATACATCATAGCACATGCTGTTCTCCCTGCCTAAAATTCTGCTTCTCTTTATCTAGCTGTCTCAATCATTCAGTTTTCAGCTTATATTTCATTTCCTTGGGGAGTCTTCCCAAAGTCCCTGAACCTCAGACTAGGTTAGGGCCTTTTGTAAGATTTTCCCATGTACTACCCACCTGCTCTTCCCCCACACTACACATAGACCTTATTTTTATATCATAGCACATATATGGCAGTTATAAACCAGTGGAATGTTCCATCCCCACACATCCCTGTACATCTAACTGTAAGCTCTATAAAACCAGGGATCACATCTGGATTGTTTACTGAGGTATCTAGGTCTTGGCACAGACCCTGCACATATTAGGTGCTCAACAAATATTTAGCTGAGCAATTGTTTTTAATCCCCCATAACACTAAAAGTTGGATTATTATTATCCCTACTTACAAAAGAGGAAACTGGACCCAAGAGGGTTTCATAACCTGCCGAAGATCATACAATGGAATATTACTTAGCCTCAAAAAGGAAAGAAATTCTGCAATATGCTATAACATAGATGAACTTTGAGGATGTTATACTAAGTGAAATAAGCCAATCACTAAAAGAAAATACTGTATCATTCCACTTATAGGAGGTACTTAGAGCAGTCGAAATCATAAAGACAATGTAGAATGGTGGTCATCAGGCACTGGGAGAAGGGGACAATGGGGAGTTATTGTTTAATGGGTACAGAATTTTTGTTTGGGATGATGAAAAGGTTCTGGAAATGGGTGGTGGTGGTGGTAGCACAACATTGTTAATGTACTCAATGCCAATGTATTGTACATTTAAAAATGGTTAAAATGGTAAATTTATAAGATAAAAAGAGTCATGGAGATGGATGGTGGTGTTGGCTGCACAACAATGTGAATATCTAATACATTGAACTGTACACTTAAAATGATTAATATGGTAAGTTACGCTATGTGTATTTTACCACAATCAAATATTTTTTAAAAAATTATGGAACAACCATAAGTGGACTAATTAGAAATTATGTTACAATACAGATTTATTGACAGAAAGGTGTCCATAATATATTATGGAATAATGCTAGGAAGTATATATAATAGCACCTCATTTATGTAAATTTCTAAATAAATGTGGCAAATGCATAAAGAAATATCTGGAAAGATGCTTATAAAAATAGTAAAATGGTCCTTTCAGGTGATTTCAACTTTTTATAATTCTCTGTAGAGCTGTTTTCATTTTGAGGTTTAGGAATACTTAAAAGTCAAATCAATAGGAGGCAGAACTAGAATGTCACTATAATGAAATAACTAAAACCAGAATCAATTTTATCATAACTCATTTGAAGAAAAACTGCTTAACAGAAAGGAATGGTCAATGTAAAATCATAGGAAAATGAAGCTTTAGGAAACAGACACTGGAGTTGCCCAACCAAAGCCTATTATGCTGGCCATGCCTAGTGCTCTGTGGCAAGTGTCACACTCTTGTAAATCATCTTTCTAACTTCTTCATCCAGTTCCGTGTTCACCAAGTAACTTTTGTTCCTCCTGAAGTTGGTCTATAGGGAGAGAATGACCTGGCTTTCCAATCAGCTCAACAGTTGTGTGTCTCCAAGTTCACTAGTAAGTTGCCGTTCTGGTTTATATGTTGAGATCTGTGTTTGGGTAATGAAAGTTTACACTAGAGAAATGGATCCCACATAATCAGTTGCTGCATAAGAAATCACCTCCTAACCTTAACGGCCTAAAACAACAATAACCATTATTATCCTTAACAGTTTCTGTGTCAAGAACTTGGAAGTGGCTCAACTGGGCAGTTGTGGCTCAGGGTCTCTCATGAAGTTGCAGTTTAGTGCCTTTCCCAGTTGGCTCACTCACATAGCTGGCAAATTGCTCTTGGTTATCGACTAGGGAGCTCAGCTTCTTTCCATGTGAATCTCCCATTGAGTATCCTCACCACATGGCAGCTGGTTTTCCCCAGAGTGAGCAATCCAAGAGACCAAGGCAAAAGTTGCAATGCGATGCCATTGCGATCTAGCCTCAGAAGTCACATACCATCATTTCTGCTATGTTCTATTGGTCACACAGGGAAAGCCCTGATTCAGAATGAGAGGACTACACAAAGGCATCAATACTAGGAGGTGAGGATCACTAGGGGCCATCTTGGGGACTGGCTACCACAGAGCTCATCAAGTGGCTATCCCTGGCACACATGCACCTCAGTATACTATAGCAGAAGAGTGTACTATAGCTTTTACATCTGTCATCACATTTCATCTTCATTATAACCATGCCGGTAGGGAGAGCAAGAGAAGAAGAGGTACCCTCAGGGAACCCATCTGTGTCTCAGGCTCAGATTTATTTGAGTTAGCTTAGTCATGATGAGGAAAATGTCAAGATCCTGTGTTGTGTTTTGCAACATTTCTGCTAAAATCATTAGTTTTACTTGTATTGAAATTGAACACTGAAAGGAAAATATATATATTCCCCAACATTAAGAAAATATAAACAGTTATTCAAGCAACTGCGCTGATTTTAGTAAGATCAGAAAAGTGATAGCAAACTTAATGTTACATGCTGATGGAGAAATTCAAACTCAATAAAATTACAAAGAAAAATGTAATCTTCCTAGACAAATAAGTATTTTAGTCTCACGGTTAAAGGTTATATATCAATGAACTATCATATTTAAAGTAGGATCTCATAGGAAAGCTTTGTTTAAGTCAGCCTCAATTTTTGATGACAGGGTATCAAATAACTATAAATCAATAAGAGCCATTTCACTTCAAACTGCCTTACTCTTAGTGTCTTCAAGATATCTGACTTGTAAATGTTTTCCCACTTTTATCATTTCTATAAAACAAGATATAATGGCTAGCTGAGTGTTTTACATCCTAAAGATTTGTGTCAGTAGCTCAAAATTTCTCTTTCTATTGAGATCCTTGTTACCTAAAAATGTGTGGGTTTGAGTTTCAACTTTATGTCTCTAATTAAGGCTGAATTTACAGATCCAGAAACAACGACTCTGACCATGCTGTAACTGTGATGAATGTTGGATATGGCAGGGTATGAAAGAGAGAGACAGAGAAACAGAGAGAGACACACATGAAAGGGAGGAAAAGATGACAGTGTCTCTTATCCAAAATGGTCATCTAAGTTGGAAAGTGCTCTTTAAATCAACAAAGAACCAAATTCTAGCTGATTAGGACAGCTGAGAGGAAAGGATCATGAAAAAAGGACACCAGCATTTATTGTGTGACAGTGATTTCCAGATGAGTAAACCAAGGCTCAGGCAAATCAAGTAATTTGGCCAAGGTGCATAACTAGTCATTTATAATTGAAACCAATAACTAATTCCCAATTCCTTCTATAATCCTACACTCATTTCTAGGCCAAGAATATGAGAATTTATGATTTCAGCAACCCAGATTTTTACCCCAGGATCAACTAGACCATCTGTGAAACCTGGAAAAGGCTGGAACTCTCTTTCTTGACTCGTATTCAGTGCTGTTCCCAACCAAATTGGGACAGATTTATGCCTTGCACCCTATAAAGATGGGCAAACACAGCATAATTGATTTGACTAGCCTTTCCTTAGGACATTTAGGCTGGTGCCTTCTCTGGATGAGTCTCTGAGAATCCCTAAAATCTGGGGAGAGTAAGGAAGGATCTGGAGGCTTCCCTGTATAGCAGGAAATCCTGGTTCTGCTAAGAACTTGGCCAAAGCCTGGGTGGTGTCAACTCCAAAGACAAATCCACAGTTTCCTTGCAGTTACTGCTTGAGATTCTCTGAAGAATTATGTCTCTATGGCAGGATGTTTAATAGGAAGCTCCTTCCTTTATGACATCACCAGGCAGGTAGCTAAGGGAACTATTTGAGATACTCAGAACAACAGCCACTTTGTGGGAGTGCAAGAACAGCAGCTTTTAAAACTGAGGGTAAATATTCAGGCTTCATTAGGACCTTGCATACAAGAAAGCTGGTGAAAATGGGATCTACCCAGAGGGGCAGCATCTATCAAACAGTCAAGATGAATAAAACTGGGTCCAAGGTAGCGGCTTCAGGACTGAAAGGGGCTGAGACTACTAACACATCCCCTCAGCGGGGACACGGGTACAATCCTGCCTCAATCCAGCGAAGTGTTGCAGTCTCTAAAAGCCCTTCTGTGCATCAAAGACCAGAAGCTGGGAATCCCACCATTCCCTCTTCATCATCATACTATTCTCAATCTCTCACCCTCCAGTTAGCACCTGGCTTCTCTGGAGGACCGATCCCTCGAACTGAGCAGTCAAAATCAGAAGCATACCGCCATTCTTCTCTTCAGCGAAAGATCCAGCAAAGTCAGACATCAGCTTCCAACGTTGTCCAGATGCAGCGGAATGTTAGTCCTTCCAGAGAGGAATCACCACGAAGGGGGCGTGAGAGCAAGTCAGGGCGTGACATCAGTAATCGTTACTCGTTAACTCCAGATACCAAATCCTCTCGCCGATTGAGTTTTGTAGACCAGAAGAATAACATACAAATCTTACAAGAAGAAGACCCACCCTCCAAGGTCCAGTACCCACAAGGAGTCAGAGTTCCCCGTAAGACTATGGTTTGCCCAAAGGATGAAGCAGTCCAAACTGAGCCCATTCGCAAGTATGTGACTTCTGCTGAGATCAGATCTTCAAGGAGACCCTCTAGCCCAGAACACGGCAGTAGCCGCATCTGTGCAGACTCTCGGACAGCCCAGAGAAAGATCCCTGGCCAAGAGTCTGAAATGAGTCGTCGCAGCTCAATTTATGCAGAACCCAAGGCGTTGCATAGGAATGTAAACGTGGAATCATCCCCCAGACCCCCTGTGCTTAAAGATTTGGATGGTGGACACCGAGTTCCCATGCGCTCAGACCCTGAGTCTATCCTCAAGTATTCTGCCTACACTGAAATCAAGCCCTCCCCAAAAGTCTTACCAGAAGCGGAGTCCAATGTGAAGTCCTCAATGCGTAGAGACAGCGAGGTTGGCCGCAGGGTCACCATCTCCCCAGGGGTACATCCAGTACAGTCACCTCATCGCATGACATCTCGAGCGGCGTATGAGAGCCGCCGCAAACTTTCCATGTCTGCCACACCAGAACCCATCTATAAGCAGCACACCCCAAGGCCCTTAGAAAGTGTCTACATGTCCCCAGGACCTATACACAGGTATCCAGAACCCTCCCGAAAGCCCTCCATCCGTGAAAAACTGGAACTGACCCCTCGGCCCTTACCCCCTCGGTCCTTACCTAGGTACGGGCCTGAGTCCTCATGGTGGGCCTTACTCAATCCTGAAATTGAAATGCCCCAAAGCCGGCCGACAACACCTGATTTCGAATCTAAGTCCCCTCCTCCCCTAGACCCTTCATTGTCCTGTTTTGAAATGGACTCAAGCCTTTTCTATGAGGATGTGATGTTCCAGAGAGAGAAGGCAAGTCCATCACCACCAGCAGCACCATCACCATCACCACCAACAGCACCATCACCATCACCACCACCATCACTAAAAGAGCCTCCGAGCCAGGCACCATTGAGGAAAGTGCCACAAGCCCCCAAATACACCTCCAAACAACCCATTCAAAGGTTTAGTGCTTTCTTCTTGGGTATGTGAAGAAGCAGACTGCCCAGGTGCTGCCCCGGTTTAGTAAGGTGGGATGTTGGGGTGAGCAGGAAAGGCCTTTTCTTCATTCTGGGCCTCAGAGCTGCCCTCCTGCCAGTGCTAAAGCTAGACCCATCTTTGAGCCCATTGCTCCATTCCTTCCCCGCCAGCTTCTCTGAGCTCCAAGTTAATGACATCGATGATGATGCTTGGGTCGGCGTCAGGCATTGACTCTTCCAGGCAACGCTGCTTAACCTTTCAATGGAAGGTAGTAGAGAGTGGTTTGCAGGGTGGGGAAGCTGCATCCCGAGAGTGGACGTGAAAAACTGAGCTGAGATGAGGGCTAGTAAGGGCTAGTAAAGAGATAAAGGTCTTCAGGTAAATATTCCAGCAACAAAGTGGAGGAGGTGGGGTACATAAGAGCTGGGACTTAAGATTTCCAAGAGGGAAAAGCATTAACTGGCACAGAAAGAGGGTGGAAGAAGAGGAGGAGAGTGGAAATGTGGCATTTAGTCCTAGGCTGGAGGAGCTTCTTGGAGAGGATCAAGGGCTGAGAGTACTTTCGAGTGTGGAGATGAGAGCTAGAAAGGGAGATGTTAAGTAGTGGTGGGAAGGAGGTATGCATCCCACAGAGAGAAAAAAAGCAACCATCTCTTATTTTCAGATGTCTCTGAGGAAATGTACAATCGTGTCATCTGGTGGCTAAAAGGTCTGTGCTTTTCCCTTTTGTGTGTCCATTGTGGGGGGATGGGAGGCAGGAGGACAGTTGGGAGGGTGGCCTCAATGTATCTACCGAACTAGGTCTATTAGGACATGGTACATGCTGGGGTTTTGACTTGAAGGGGCAGAGGAAGGGACTCGGAACCTTTTTCATTTTCTAGAGTCTCCTTTTAATGAGAATTAGTTATTTCTGGAATGGAGAATAATTTAAGCCTGTGGCCTTTCAGCTTAGCTGGTCTTACCTATTATGTGATAAAACAAACAAACAAACAAACCCCACCAAAACAAATTACCTGCTTCATAGTCTTACTCAGAGTTGACTCCACACTAATTTAGGCTGGGGGGTCTCACGTGTCTCTCTGGTTCCTCAGACCCTTCTCACACCCTCATTCCAGGACCTGGAAGGTATTTGTTGGCTGCTGCCCAGCAAAATCCCAAGGATGTCTGGGCCTCTGCCTCGAGGCCGTCAGTGAGACCTGCAGCCAACTCTAGAATCTTTAAGAGAGGTGTTCTCAGGCCCTGGTGACCCCTTGACTCCCTTTGTACTCTTGGCCTCGGTGATGGGAGGGGAGGTGAGGATTAGCCCTTACACAGTGAATTATAGTGGCAAGGAGTTCCTGCTTCAAGAGTTGTGGCCCAAAATATGCTCCAGCCCTGTGAGCATGAGGGAGGCCAGGGCTCTGGATGAGGAAGTTGCTAGGGAAGAGAAAGCCCTGGGAATGCAATCAAGTCCCAACAAGCATGAGCCCTTTGATAGCAAAACAGCAGAAAAGGGCAGCTGTGCCCTTCAGAAAGAGCAAAGCTTTATAAGATAGAGGTTTAGCAGAATGTTGACTCTGGAGTCATGTTATTGGGTTTGAGCCCTGTGTCCACTATATCTAACTGTGACCTTGGGTAAATATTTACCTCTCTAATCATTAGTTTATCTGTTAATGAGAACAATGGCTTCCTTTTAGGGTTCTTGTGAGGACTGCCCAGGCTATTACATGTAAAGCACTTAGCATGGTGCCTGACAACAGCGAGCACTCAGTAAATGCTAGCTGTTATTATTTGGGCCACTTCTCTAGGAAGGGTTTTGGGCCAGGTTATGACCAAGTCTACTGGACAGCTTTAATAAAATTCTCTTTTTCCCCTCCTGTTGGCACTGTCCGAAATCCATTTGCTACCTACTGGGAATGCCCGGCTTTTGCTTCTGCATTATGACAGATGAGGAGGTAAGAATGCCCCTGGGAAGTTACTTCCAGTCTTCCTGTGCTCCCCCTTATCCCAGTCCCTGTCTTACCCTCTGATGAAAGCCAGTGTGGTGGGAGACAGAGCTTCTCCCTCTCCTTGGGCAGGGTGTTCACTGCACAAAGGCACCTGGCAGGGCAAGTGCTGGCTGAAATCTAGCCTGTGTTCCATTTGCTAAGCTTTGCACTTATGGGACTGCATCTCTCTGAAGGGGGCAAGTGATGAATCTGGCCAAGTGCTATGTGGGAAGGCTGCCTGGGAAGCCATAGGTTGGATTGGTCCCCCCTTGGCTCTCTCCTTTCCAGCCTAGGGCACTCCAGAAAGGGGACGCTTTTCTGGGTTACACTATTTGAGTCCTCACCTTGGAAAGCCACAAGGCGAACTCTGCTTGCAGCAGCCCTCTGTCCTGAATTTGGCAGTGTCCTGATTTCACAGTGCGTTGTTTCCATAGCACTTTAGTTCTTCTTGGCTCATGTTTGATAAGGTAGTCCAGGCTCTTCTTGCCTCCATTCTGTCTCTTGCCATATCTCTTTCTTGCCCCAAGCCCAGCATGACCTCTAATGAGTCCCATCTATGGGCTAGCCTAGGATGGACAGTTGACTATAGATGGAAAACAAATTGGGGAGTTGGCAGGACAGCCTCAGCTCAGATAATGGAACAGCTGCAGGGGAGGTGCCAGAAATGTGGCTACCACCCTCTCTGCTATGGCTTATCCAGCCCCGTGCCTGGAGCTCAGCTGTGGGTGGGAACAACTACTTTTAAAGATTATCTCCATGCAAGACAGTAAATCCTTCTCTCCCTCCTCCTCTGCTCTCCCTTCCTTCCTTCCTCCTCCCCCTTCCATAAATAATTTTTGTTCAGATGCCTAGCACTCTGCTAGGCACATTGGAGAAAGCATTGAAGCCTCACAGCACAAACATTATTTGGCCTTTAGAAATTTACCATCTGGATGGGGAGATAAGACACAGACAGGAAACATTTAAATAACAATATGAAATAGTCTGTGCACAAAAGTCCAAATAAATGCAACAGACTGAATGAGTACTCTTGGAGGGTCTTAGGAAAGAGGGAGTCAACAAGGGATTTGGTGAGATCAGGTTACTCCCTTCCCAAAGCCAGGGGAGTATCTTAACAGCTAGCCTCTTGCTCACCCCTTGATGCAAATCTCTACCTTTGGGAAGGGGTTAGTATTTCCCCTATCTCAGGATATGATGTTTTTGACTGAGCAAGTTCCTCCCTATTCTTCCCCATCCTCACTCCTTTGTGCATCTTGTTTTAGTTTAGGAAGTCAAACGCCTTGGCAGCAGGACAGCTCCTTCCCAAAATAGCTCTTATCCTGTCTCGATAATTGCAGCTCTCCAGCCCTGTTCAGTAGCAGAGCTGCTCCCCAGAAGCTGGGAAGACAAGACTTGCCTGCAGCTGGGCCCGCCGGTCTTTCTTGGCTCTCTGGAAGTGGTGTAGCATGGAGGTGGGCTAGGTACTGTCCTCACAGAGTAAGAGAGCTAGGCTTTCCCTAGGCTGCAGGGCCCACAGGCAGTCCCAGATAGAGACCATGGTGCCGGTGTTCAAGGCTTCTGGTTCCTCTAATCTGAGAATGGTTGACTGTAG